ATGTGTTGGGGTTTTTTTTTCCATTTATTCAAATTTTCTTTTGTCTCTCAGCAAAGTTTTGTCGTTTTCTACCCAGGGATCCTTCTCAGACTGTTTTAAGTTTGTTCTTAAATATGCTATCCTTTCTTCTTGCTATTGTACATGTTATTTTAGGGTCTCTGGATTTGGATACACATTTAGAGATGTGCTTGAATTTCCAAGATAAATACTTTTGCCCCTACTTTTATTTTCCTTTGGCCATCACAGTGAAAAGAGGGAGGCCCAGGGGCATTTCAGACATTTCCCTTCTAACCTTGGAGTCCCTTCTTCCCCTGCTTCTACATGGTGTGGGAGTCTCTTCCTTCTGCATCCAATAGCTTTGTAAACTCCTTGCTAATTTTTTTAATGTAAAAAAATAAAAAAAATAGTGCCTTTAGCATAAGCAAGATCTCTATTTCCATAGAAAATGGATTAGATTTTCCATGAAATCTTTTAATGACAAAAGAGGTCTGTTTTCTTTACGGTAGAGTTAAGTGATTGGATTTTACCAGATAGCCTCTATCTCTACCTAGTGAGACACTTGGAGTTCCCTACTGATTGTAAAGGGAATATTATAGTGCTCTAATGGTCTGTGTTTGCTTCCAGTAATTATCCTTCTACAGAGGAAGCAAGGAGGGGCAGAATAACTGCTCCTGTGTAGGGAGCACTCCATGTCAGCCCCGGGCCCAGGGCCCTTCCTACCTTGTCTCAGTTAACACTCATGCCCTCTCAGGTGGGCACTGCCATCCTCCCTCCGCTGAGGAAACATGCTCCACCGAGTAAGGCAACTTGCTCAAGGTCACACAGGGAGTAAGTGGCAAAGTCAGGATTCCAAATCTTCACTCTTAATCACTATACTGACACTTGGTTGTATTGAGATTGACAGAGTCAGAATTAAAAATAATTAAAAACAAAAATAAATAAGATTTGAGATATTAAAATCTGACAAGCTGCAGTTTGCCTCTAATTCAGTTATAGGCCACACTTTATTTTGAGTGTTACTGATTATAGCTCAGATCAAAGATTAGTTTCTTTTTGCTACTATAGACCAAAAGTATTAACGGCCCGTTCGGAATAATTGAAGCGATATTTCTGAAGAGTCAGCAGGTGAAGTTTGTCAAAGTTCGTGACTTAGGTACAAAACATTTGGATGATCACAAAAAGAAGAGGCTGTTGGGACAGGAGGGAGCCAGGACTTGGCAAAACCCTTTTCTGCTGGTGGTGGGGAACTGGGAGGCAGCTCTTGGCAACAGAAGGAGGGACTGTCTGAAGAAGATATGATGGGAGGAGACCCATGGAAGAGTCAGATTGAGGTATCTGGTGGCTTCCTGCTGAGGATATGTGGCAAAACCCCTGCATGTTTCAAAATGGGACACTAGGCCCCTCCTACAAGACCAGAGCCCTGGGCAGAGACTAGTCAAGACTGAGGGGGGAGGCTGAGACTAGTTCTTGTTCTACCTGCTTTGGATCTGGGGGCACCGTGGGTGCGTAGGGCTGGCTGAAGGAGTCCAGTTCCCAGGGTGGAGAGAGACAGTGTGTGCATGTGTGTCTGTCTCAGGTTTGAGGATCCTCAGTGGGAGCTCTTACAGAGATGTCTATTTGCTTTTTCATCTGGTTCAGCAATTGACTTTCACTACTATGTGATGGAACTGAGCCTGCTCCACATCCCTCATCCCTCCTCTGTGGTTGGCCCAGGCACCAACTCGGGATGTGTCTGCAGGCAGGTGGCAGGTGGGCAGGGCAGCGTCAGGCTGGAGCAGGAAGGCGCTGGGAAAGGCACTGCCAGGGACAGAAGCTGGCTCTGCATCGCTACAGAAATCCAGAAAGCACTGCAGTCCTGTTTTCATAGAGCGAGGCCAGAAAACACTGAGTGAACATGTAGTATCCTCAGCTCAAATTACTGAAATTGCTTATTTCTAGTTTCACAACTGGGAGTGTTCTTTGGAAACCCACATTTGGGTAGTGAAAACCATACTTTCTAGGCTAGAGTCCCTGTGTAAGTAGAAATGATGATTCATGGAAAGATGACTTTATTATTATATTTTTATCAGTAGACAAACTTCCTAAAAATTTACATACTCATATCTGTAGATAAACCCACATCATAAAAAGACTAATATGACACTGTTCTGAATCATGCAGGCTTTGCAAATAAGCTGCCTGAAAAATGTCCAAATCTAATTTTAATTTTTGAGATTTTTTTCCCTAACTTGACGATTGTCTGAAAACTTTGTAGTAAGAAATAAGTTGGATAACTGTGTAAGTGACTGATTATACTTTCTTGTGGTGTTTTCTAGTAACATGGTCTATTTTCACTGCTCTTTTTGAAAAAGAATATCCACGGTGAACAAGTACAATTTACACATAGGTTCTGCCCTCCAACCCCTTGCCCCTATGCAGGAGTGGAAGGAACAGACCTCTAATGTGAATCTTTGCTTGTGACCACAACACATGGCCAGGTTTTCAGAGCAAGTGGAAGTCTTATAAAATAGTGAGGCATTTGTTCATTAAATCTTCCTAGCTCAGGAATGAATGCTGTTCTCGAGCTTGTTAAGGCTTAGAGAGCCCTTAGGGAATCTAGGACAGCTTCTTTTCTATTTTATTTTATCTTATTATTATTTTTTTCCATCACCTCTATGCCCTGTTCTGCCTCCATAGACAGCTCCTTTAAGATCCAGACGAGGAAGGAGGCTCATAGCAGATGAGGCAGGGGCTCAAAGGCTGTCTAATGACTGCTTGTTAGGTCTGCCTTGGGGGACATCTGAAGCCTTGATATAAAGGGTGTGCATTGACTTCCTCAGTAAATATCATGCGCATTGACCTGCCAAAGAGCTCTCTGAAGCAGTTTTCTTCTTTTGGTCTGCATTCCCAACTTTCATTAATACACTAAAAATTTTAAGAATTCTTGGAGAAAAAGGGCAAATTAAGCTTTAAAGTTTTCTTCAAGTTCAACTGAGGGTAGCCTCACAGGCTCCCAGGAGCTCTGCTCAGGTCCTCGTGTGTAGACAGTAGCCATGTATCTAAAACCCCAGGATCCTGAGCACTGCTGAAGGTGCAGAGATGTAGCAGAGACGGACTCTGTCCTTGAGAAGCTTCAAGTCTAGTTGACTAGATGGCATTCAGCAAACATTTATTAAGCATGTGGGAGGGGGAGACACTGTGGCCACACAGCAATGATAAAGCTGCAGGCCCAACTTTCTAAGGAGTTTGCAATGCTTGGTTAAGTAACAATGCCAAACAATTCAGGCAGAACAGTGGACTTCCCAATGAATAGTATAAACCAATAAGTACTCAGAAAATGGAATCTCCATGGGCTGGAATGGCCTGTGAAGGCTTTAAGGAGATGATGGGCTAAAGCAAAAACTCTGACTCTTGGCCATTTTTCACATTCATAAGATCTGCCAGGTTCTAGAATAACCCAAACCAAGATTTCAATGAAGTGTTAATTTCCAAAAAAATTAGGAACTTTTGTGCTTTTGGTCAGTCTGTGATGAAAAGCTGTGTGTCCAGTGTGTTGCTGTGGCTTCTACCTCATCCAGCATTTCTCCCTCTCCCACTCTGTACCATTGCTCCATTCTCTGTCACCCTCCAAGACAGATGTTATCTCCAGCTTTTCACATGCTTGTTAGTTTAGCAACGCCAAGGATGTACTTTTTCGTTATTTAAATATATATATATATATATATTTAACTTTTGAATAGCAATAGTTTACGTGGTTGAAAAACCAAAAAGTATAACCCATTATTCAGTAAAAATTATCCCCCTTTCCTCGTCCCAGTCTATTATGACTTCTCTCCGCCCAGCTCCTTAGTTTTTTATGTATCATTCTAGACTTGATGTCCATACCACATAAATATAATTTTTCCTCCATTTTTACCCAAAGATAGCATGTTATATGCACAGTTTGCTTTTCTTCACTTAATATATCTGAGTTCTTTCCTAATAGCACATAAAGCATATTCTTATTCTCTTTTCATAGTTGCATAATACTCCGCTGTATGGATATACCATAATGTATTTACTCAGTTCCCTACTGATGGTCATTTGGGTTGTTTCTATCTTTGCTATTTCAGATAAAGTTGTAATGAATAACCATACACACATCATTCACATGTATAAATACTGTCTACCGCAATGATATAGTGATTTAGTGGTTCTGAATGGGGAAAGAGAAGTATGGTTTAAAAGGATTCTCACCTGGCATGTTATTTTCTGAATTTGGATATTCTGTATAGGTTACATCATTACCCAGAAACCTGGAGGTAACCTGATAAATATGCCCAATAATAGTAGATATTAGTCCTCATCCCAGCACATTTATTATAAATAGATTTAACTGTAGAAAATCCTGGATTTTGCTTCTCCTTGGTTTTCACCAAAGTTGTCTGGTTTCAAAAGATACATAGTTAGCCCTGGCCAGTTTTGCTCAGCGGTTAGAGCGTCAGCCTGTGGTCCAGAGAGACCCGGATTCAGTTCCCGCTAAGGGCAAGTACCTTGGTTGCAGTTTGTCCCCAGCCCTGGTTGGGTCGTGTGGGTGGCAACCATTCGATGTGTCCCTTTCACTTTGATGTTTCCCTCTCCCTCCTACTCTATCTGAACAAAAAATGGAAAAATGTCTTCGGGTAAGGAAAAAAAAAATGCGTATTTGCCGTCACTGGGCCTGGGCAACTTCATACTCCTTTTTCTTGATTGATTTTTAGAAAGAGAGAGGGAAAGAGAGAGAAAGACAGAAACATTGATGAGAGAGAATATCGACTGGCCGCCTCCTGCATGCCCCCCCCCCCCAAGTATCGGGCCCACAATCTGGGCCTATGTCCTGACCAGGAATTGAACTAGTGACCTCTTGGTGCATGGGTTGATGCTCAACCAGTGAGCCACACCAGCCAGGCATTAACTTCACATTCTTCCAGAGTTTGTTCTTTAGGGGTACCTTCTGGCCCACCATGAAATTCTCAAATGTTACTGTGATCTTGTTTTTATAGACGGGCCCATCTTCGTTTGTGCCTGGAGAAGTTAAAGGGGCTAGTGCCACTCGGGCCTGAATCAAATCGACACACTACTTTGAGTTTATTAACAAAAGCCAAATTGCACATAAAGGTAAGTGTACCCTTGAGATGCCTGTTTATCTTTAGCTCAAGTTAATCCTGTTTAGAATTCTTCTGTGGTTCAGGACATACTGTCACTAGGCCTGCCCCATGCTCTGCCTGACCTGGCCCTCACCTGTGTGCAGCATGTTCTCTGACCACAGGGTCTTTGTACATGCTGTTCCCCCTGTTTGGTATGCTTTCCCTACTTAACTTCTTGTCATCATTCATATTACAGCAGAGATATCTCTAGCTCAGGGAAACCAGAACCTTCTTCCTGTGACAGGTGGTCCTATTACTATTTCTCACTTGTCACAGTTGGCATCCAGCAGTGGTTTATGTGACTATTTGGGTGTCTTCAGCCTTAGACTATAGACTCCATAGGGAAGGGACCAGGTCTTTGTTCACCTTGTATCCCCAGCACTCTCCAGAGGGTCTGGCACAGAGCTGGCCTTGGTGCATAACTGGGATTGCAAAGGGTGAGTGAGTTCTGTTCAGGCTCTTGAGACCCACAGCCCAAATCCCTGTGCAGCATGTTTTTATAGTCACGATTGGACAAATGTCACTTTAATTATGGTTAGCAGCCATCATGCATGACAGTTCTGGGGGAGAAAGAATCTCTGTTTAGAGTAAAACAGTCATAATTAAACAATCTTCTTAATTATCTGAAGAATATGAGAAGCTATAGGACAGATTAAAAAACAAGTGGTCTATGGAAATGTGTTTTCTAAGCTCTTATGTTGGACAATTTGGAATCAGGCTTTCAAAAGGGACTATTTCCTGCTAACAAACAGAAGTTAATTGAGACTTGGCATGACACAAAAACGTGCTTATGTAACTGGGCCACACACTTGACTAAACACACGTCTCAATGGGAGTCTGTTTCTCAAGCCTCCATCACGTGCAGCGCCCTGGTTCGGAGATGAGGTGTTTAGGGGTGTCACTGCAGGCAAGGGAAACCAGGCTGGGGGTCCCTGCCTGCAGTCTTTTCGGTCAAAAGTGAGGGGTACCAGGATGCTACGCTAGAGTGTCAGAGCTCACCCCTAGAATCCCTGTCACAGCACAGGAACAGCACTGTCAATGCTGAAGATGTTAGACGAAGACAGGAGTCACTAGCCAGTCAACTTCCTGTCTCTGAGAGAAGCTAGACAAGTGACACACCAGATGGCTTCTGAGAAAATCGGCAGATTTCACTGCTAGAGAGGAAGATGCAGGGTCAATGCCAATTTTGAAGTCTGCCTGTGAGCTCCAACAACTACCCCTTTGACTTGCAGAAACTTGAAGATTGCGACAGAAAAGCCATTCACCAAATAGACCAGCTTCAGCGAGAGCAGCGGCACCTGAAGAGGCAGCTGGAGAAGCTGGGCATCGAGAGGATACGGATGGACAGCATTGGCTCCACGGTCTCCTCCGAGCGCTCGGACTCCGACAGGGGTGAGCCCCGCTCCCTGCGCCCTCACCCCGCACCCAGCTGCCAGAGGCAGGGCAGAGAGGGACTAAGAACCTGCTTGCCATTTAGGGGAGTTGAGTAGTGTGCCCTTTAGTAACTAGCCCTTTCCTTTCATCAGTTCAGTCCCAGTGTCCAAAGCAGGGCTTACCTAGAGTCGCTTTGATTTTCAGCCTGAGTTTTCTGAAGAGTGCCTTCACCACTCTCTCTCTGTCCTCCCACAGAAGAAATCGATGTGGATGTTGAAAGCACAGACTATCTCACGGGTGAGTTGGACTGGAGCAGCAGCAGCGTGAGTGATTCCGATGAGAGGGGAAGCATGCAGAGCCTTGGCAGTGACGAGGGCTACTCCAGCTCCAGCATCAAGAGAATAAAGCTCCAGGACAATCACAAGACGTGTCTTGGTCTATGAGGGACAGTGGTCGCTTCGGCTGCTCCCCGGATGGTTCTCCCTGTTGGATCTGATTAGGTAGTGTATTGGACCTGCCCACAATTCCCTTGCACGTCAACTTCAGTGTACCACCTTTACCAAATCAGCTTTGTAATCGTTTGCAAGGAAGTGCTTAGGATCGTGGGTTTCTGATTTCATCCACTAGCTTCTCTTTCTCTCCATAAAAATTTGTCTCTGAGAGACTGTACATTCCAATCATTTTGAAGCACCCAAGAATTCTTAGACCGAATAAGCAACTTTCACATCTCAGCAATTTCCCCTCTCTTATTTACTGTCCCCATGTAGCCTACCAGACCTTAATGTTTTCTGGCTTACTATGTTCCTTGCCTAGCAGAAATGTATGAATGTGTCTTGTGCTTGGGAAACTGAAGGAAACAAGCTTCTAAAGTTGAGATCCTGATCTCAGAACTCCAAAGTAAGCTTTGAAAGTGGCATGTAAGAGTGCTTAACCATGGACCTCACCCCATGAGGAGTCAGGAATACCTCCAGAAAACACCCCTCACACACCCTGTGCCCGTTCCCCAGAACCACGTGTGGATGGGAGCAGTGTCTCTCTCTCAGATGGACTCCTGGAGAGCATGGCTTTGGGGTTGCACAGCTTATGACAGTTGCGATACTGTTCTCACGAACACAAGGGTACAGCCTAATTTTGTGCAATGTCTGGGACCGCGCTGTGCACTATCCCCAGCACACATTTCTTCTCGAAGTTTGTTATGCGACTTGTCTCTGGAACATTTTTTTTTCCTACCTCAGAGATAAATGAGATCTCCATTTCCCACTTAACACAAAGTGATTATGCCTCTTTTTTTCCCCCCGAATAAGTGACATTTGGTCCAATTCTAATGTATTTTCCTATTTAACTTTCAGCAATAACTGAACTTTGGCACTAGCTGAGCTAGTGTCCATCATCAGTGAAAGGAAAAGTCCACATTTCTACTCTGTTGCAGGTGAACAGGAGGGGAGGGTACAAAGTTACTAGAATTCCTCTCCTTGTTTTCAGACACACCCGGAAACTCCTTCATGGAGGCTTTTGGGTTGATAGTTTAAAGGCTGGTTTTTCTTTTTGGTTATTTCTCCCTTAAGTGGTCTCCCACTTTGTAGCATTTTTATTTAAGCTAAAACAGAGCACATGTATATGTACATAAGACACATTAAATCTATAAATACTATTTATTCATTTTATATAAACTAATGTAATGGAAAATAAATTCTTATGACTTTGTGCTTTTATAGATGTTCTAGAAACTTTGTATGTAGGTATCTACCAATTTGGTTCATTCCCCTTATTTTTGCATTCATATTTTTGAGGTCTTGATGTTTTCAGCCTCTGATGAATCTTTTCCATTGAATTTAAACCATTTGTAAATCTGTGACACTGAAACAGAGTGTATGTCACAAAGTGATGAGAACATTCCTAAAATCCACAGACGCACTGCAACCTAAGGGCTCAATGGCTGAGCCAGTCCTGGGCCCGCCCTGCGCGCCCGCTGGCTGCGGTCTCCAGCACGCCACAGCCTCAACTCCAGCGCCTCCACCTTCACACAACCAAATGTTCAAACACTCGACACAGAAGCTCCTTCTGGACGTGAAGAGCAATGTCAACAAAGCAAGATTACTTTTGTGTTTTTTCTTTTTAATGATTCTTTAATGTATTAAAAAAATTTTTTAATTGGAAGTAGTGGATTGTTAAATGATCCCAAAGTCATGTGTAACTCTTCTGTGTTTGTTTTGTTCTAGTTTTTCCTTCATTTCAGCTTTGGTTGGGGGGAGGGGCAGGTGACACACAGTTTTTTATCATTGGAATCTTTTCCAATTACCAGCTGAAGATTTGCACTGAACTACAACTTGTATGCCTTCTGCATTTTTAAAGCCTGCTTCCTGAATTTAAGCAGTGATAGTGTTTAAAGAGCCAGCTCAGCCTGTAACATGTTTGAAAAAGATACGTCTGCACTTTGAGGTCCCTTTCGAATGCCATTCGCTAGACCTCACAAGCGTTTTTGTTTAATTGCTACGTTCAAGCGCCTCACAAGTCCACGATGCTGAATGGCAGCAAAAGCTCAAGACTTAGGGAAAAGCTTGTGGGCTTGCACTGGGGGAGGGAAGGGAACAACATTTGTGTAATTTGTTTAATTTAGAAATAAGGCATCTGAGAAATGCCATTATTTTCTGTGTTTTAACTGTTGTGCCTTTGAGTTAAACTGCATTTTTGTCTTTTGGTTGAAATTTGAAATGTACTGTCCCAATATAAAACCGTAATTATTTGACCTTCGCACTGTTTGTCTGGTCCTTTTCAATTTGACTGCACAGAAATGTGGAACTTGATAGATCGCTATATTTTTAATGCACTTGTGATAAACTGACACCAGGGTTAAACATTACTTTCAAAACTCGAGGTAGACCAAATTAGCATGCTAGACGGGCCTCTCTGACCAAAACTGTAACCTTCAGGACCAGCAAACTCAGCCCAAGGCAGCTAATCCCCTTCCCTACATGGCTGATGGGCAGCATGATTCGCCAATCTGTCCTCTCGTTCACTGATCCACCAGCTTGACTGTTAAGAGCTACACAGTCTTTTTGGGTTTTTGTTTTTTTGTGTTTTTTTTTAAGCGAAATGAAAAACCTTTCTATTAGAGTTTCAGGGGAGGGGATGGACAAAGAGATATACCCCAGCCTTTAAGATTTTGACAACTGTACGTAAATAGAGATGTGTATAAATATAGACACATGCATATTTTTATGTGAAAATTGATTTTTAAAAACTAAAAAGCAATCTAAACTACATTCTTATTGAAACCATTGCAATGCAAATGGGAAGAGTACCTAGTCCAATTTAATTTTATGCAGTGAGAAAATATATGAGTGTGCTTCTGTTAACATCCCAGAAAATGTAACTGCACAAACCTGTTGGCTTTGAATGGCAAGCTGAGCACCCAGGGCACTTTTGTTTGTGTTCTTTTGCTAAGCAGGGATCTTGAAGTCTTCAAGGTGCTCATAGCGACTGCTGGTACCTTTCTCTAGTTAGTGGTTCAAAGAGCATCACATTTCTGAGCAGAACCCAGAGTCCTGTCCCTGTCAACCCGAGACTGAAATAATTTCAGTTTCCATTCAGAATCGAGCACTAAGTAGGCCCTGACCCTGCACTTGGTTGTGTGAGTAGTTTTGGCTTTTGTAAAGTGGGCATTTTCCTTTAACCTCTACTTTTTCAAAACAAACAAAGGAACCTTACCTGGGTTCCCAGTGGGCCTCTCTTCTTCATCCCTCAAGTGGCCAAGAGCAGATCCTGGGGGAGGGGGGGAGAAAGTATAAACTAGGTAGGATTGTAATATTCAAAATAACTGTCTAGCAATATCTTGGGGCTTGCTAATGGATTTTTGGGGGGGGGGGCTTTTTTCTTCTTGCCTCTCCCCACCCTTTAGAGAGAAAAGTTATTTCTGCAAAGTATATACATACAATTATTTAGGTTTTTTTGTTTTTTTTTTACCATGTTGTATTGGCAAGAATATCACTTTCACTGTGCTTTATAATCTATTTATTCCCCCAATCTTGGTCTTTACTTGTTTCTCCAAGTTTCTTTGTCTTCCCCTTTACCTGCCCTGTGTGTTGAGCACCAGGAAATTAATGGTTGCAAGACATTTTCCTGCAAGGCAATCTATTCTCTTTTCTATGTCTAACTCTTGGATGCAGTATGTTTAGGTAGCTGGCTACTTGTGATTTTAATCCTTTCTGGGAGAAGACCCAAAGGTCCTTTTAGATGAGGTGGTATTTCTCCTTCTACATGATTAGATCTCTTTGTTTTTGAAGATACCTGGGGGTTGAGGGGAGGGCTGCGACATAAGATTTATCATGATTTTTTTTATTAATATTACATGGGTGATTTTCGTACATTCTTCTGAAAGAAGAAATAATTGCCTGGCACTGCTAATCAGCTACTGAATGGCTGAAGAAATCGAGTATCTTTGTCTTCTCTCAAAAATCATTAAATGAGAATTAGTAAGACACTCAATTCTAACATTTATCCAGATTTTTCATTTTGATTTCTTATTCTCTCTAGGTGGTAAGGGGTTGAGGGGGGTGAGGGGGACAGTCTTGATTTTACCTGAGAACCAAACTTGCCTTTCCCCTGTGTCCCTAGATTTGGTGCTCTGGGGATGTTGCTGTTAACCTTGAGTGTTGGGGCCATCTTCCTAGTGGTGAACACCCTACACAGGGAGCAGATGACAGTATGCAATTGTTTCCAGATGTTTGTGTAAATACGACGCCAATGTAAATCCTGTGTCAAGACATAGAGAATGGTGCTTTTTACTCTAGTTAGCACATGCGTTTTTAGAACGACTACATGTTTTAGAGACTTTGTTGTGTATATGTAAACGTCTGTATTGTTCAACTGTTAACAAAGAATAAATTATTTCATTATTAAAGAAATCTTGGTCTTCCTGATGTTTTGTACCCCCGTTTAACCTCTCTTGCTTTTTACTGACAAAACTGAGTTAATCATATTTCTTTTAATTTCATGGAAAGTTCAATGGCCAAATGTTTTCAGCCCTTGGATCCTGTGGTAAGAGATTCAGTTATGTGGCTCTGGTTGAGCTGGTTTGTGGATTAAAGTTAGTGACAGCACTGTCTGCCCCACTCACCCACGTGCCCTGCTCTCGCAGGCGCGCTCGGCTCGTCACGTCAACACCTCCGGCGTAGGCGGCACTCCGGCTGTGACACAGACAAGAATTCCTGTCTTCCCAGTGGCCCTCGGTCTGACAGGATAGAGAACACCAATATAGTTAGTATGGAATCAAGCTGTACAGGGATGTGCTATGGGAAATCAGAGGCGGTGGCATTCGAGTTGGGCCCTGGAGGAAGAGTGCGGATTTGCTAGGAAAGGAGACTTCCAGAGAAAGGACTTCCAGGGCGACGAGGCAGGTTTCCAGGAAGGGACTCGCTCCTGGGGGCTCGGGTGTGGCCTGGAGGCTGGAGCACGTGGTGGGCAATGGACGTGTGCAGGGAGGGCCCCACACTGTGAGAGACCTCGTGTATTGCACAACTCATTGAGAGAAGGAAAGGCACCCAGTTTAGGAGGTTAGTTCTTTTGCATGTTAACCCCTTCAGTTAATTTAAATTTATTAATCCGTTTAACAAGTAGGGATTCAACACCTGTTCTGTGCTAGGGTCCGTCATACAGCTGAAGACACATCAGTGAACAAAACACAGAACCCTGCCCTGAGCCGTCTTTCTAGCGCTATGGGCTCCGGGCCCTGTTCCCGGCCTGGCCGGTCTGCAGAGCAGAGCTCTCCTTCCTCGCCTGACTCCTTGCACCCTAAGAGGACACCTGCTTAGAACCAGGAGGAAGGAAAACGGTGTCTATCTCCTTCTTGACAGGTGACTTCTTACTCTAAAAGCTGCCTAAAATGTTTAAAGGTTTTGATGCGGCCCACGGGGCTTATGAAAGGGATCTTTCTGGTACTTCTCCTTGGGGAAGGGCCCTGGCTCTTCTGCTTTCTTCAGAAACCAGAGGGTGTGCGGGCCTGTCTGGGATGTGATTCCAGGATCCACCAGAGGGAATGGGCAGAAACAGGGAAGGAAGCTATGTTCTATCCAGTGTCAGGATCCCTGTTTACTGCGGCCAAGGCGAGGACGCCCGAAACCACAGATAGCGAAGACGGCTCTCACGTTAACGACAGCCTCCCCACAAGATGACAAATCTTATTCCACGTTTTCCTGTCCACAGCAGCCTGATGAAGAGTGTCCTTCTTTACGCGACATGGGTCCATGTCACAATAATGGTCAACTCACATGTATTGAGCACCTCCATGACCTCGCCCATCAGCCCTGGGGGGAGGGGTGCCATTATGATCCCCATTTCATAGGCTGGGAAGTAGGAATAGACAGGCGAGGCTTTCTGCTCCAAGTCCACAGAGCCAGTGAACTGACCCCAGAGCCCAACTCCTCTGCCTCCATTTCTGCAAGAGCTGTGTCCACTGTAACAGATTTTCCACGTAGAGCAACTTTTCTCTCTTAAGCCTTTGAATGCCATTACTCATTTTCCACAGAGGGACCTTAGGTTTCAGTTAATGGGGCAGAAATTGCGAACATACACCACCATTGTGGATTGTCACTGCCAAGTCATCATGCTTCCCTGTACCCTAACTTCCCTTCCTGTCTATGTGAGGAATAACCTGGACCCCTGCACCTTCTGGGGGACCTTGTGGCAACCACCCAGCATGCTTCTGGGGAAGACATCCTTTCCAGGGATTGAAGACATCCTTTCTACACCACATCTCTTTGGTTGTGGACCTTGTGACATCCCTTTACTTATTCAACCAGTATTTACGAAACACAACTTCCACCCCGGCCTTGGAGGCCCTGTTATCAAATGCCACTTTGGTCTACCTCTTAGCTGTCACTGTGACCCAGAGGAGGAGGGACACATCAAGGCTCTCTGCCAAGAGTCTCTGGAGTATCAGCTCCTTAGTTTCCATTGCTTTCTTGGGCCTTCCCATCAGTTCGGGACCTATGGCTCCCAAGGCCGGGGCCTCACAGGAAGCATTGTTCAGGGCTCAGAATGAATTGGGCGGCAAGATATCTGCCCACTCTGTCCTATGTGGAGTGTCCCTGTGGAGACCAGTCAAGGTGGGTGGGTGAGGCTGCTGACTAGAGGTGAACATACTGCCCAGAGGGGGAAAAGCTGCACGGTGAGGGAGAGAGTGACTGACCTCCTTTCAGCAGACAGGAGGGCAGGTTCTGCCAGGCTGGAGCTTCTGGGATCTTCCCTCGATGTACATGAAGCCAGGTTCAGGATTTAGTGAGACAACTGAGGCAAGAGCCAAAACAGAAGCAAAGGATATGGTCCCAAGGACCAGACAGAGCTGGGCGGCTGAGGGCTGCAGAGGTTCGCTGAGGCCCTAGAAGAAGAGGGAGGAGCCTTTCACAGGATGCTGTTGGCTGCTCCTGGGGGTAGAAGTGCGTAATGAAAGTCAAGGTAGAAAGCTCTGGGTCAGAACGTCTGCCTTTAAGGAATCCATCGGCCAGGGAGAGAAGACACCTGGGAGAGCCTATGAGACAGAGGAAAGGGAGATGCACCAGCCCACCAGCCCTGTTGGCTACCCGATGGCCAGGCTGGGTAACACCTGAGGTCTATGCCCAGCCCTGCATCCCAGTGGGGATGGGAGATCCAACACCCATCTGCAAGAACAGTCATTTGGTTCAAAACAGAATGTCTGACAAACTCTTGCCTTGATGGTACTCTCATCCTCCACAAGGTAGAAGATGCTGTTGTCAGAAAGCTCCAGAGCGAATTCTGATCAACAAACAGGAGTGAGCTGGCCAAGCAGAAGGAGAGACTAGGGAGGAGGGGTACCCTGGTTGCCACGCCCTTTAGTTACCTGGGAAGGAAGTCCTGGGTGATGGTCAAGAACACAGACTCCAGTCAGACAGATCCAAGGCCTAGGGCCAACTCCACCCTTTACACTCTGGGTGACCTGGGCACGTGTCCTTGGCTCTTATTTCCCGGGTCTGTCGAGTGAGGATGGTACAGTCAACCCTCAGTATCGAAGGGGAATCGGTTCTGGGACACCCTCCCCCTAAGATACAAAAATACAAGCCTGCTCCAGTCCCTTATATGAATGGCGCAGTGTTTGCACGTCACCTTTGCATGTAGGTGGCAGCAGGACGACCTACACGTCACTCACCCACGTGGACTCAGTGCAGTGCTCAGCACGTGGCAAATTCAAGCTTTGCTTTTTAAAACTTTCTAGGCTTTTTTAAGAATATTTTTTATACTGGTTGGTAAATTCATGGTTGTAAAACCTGTGCATCAGAGGGCTAACAGTACTTTCTTCCAGGGCTTTGGGGGGCATTAAGTTAGATAAGGGATTAAAAAGAGCCCAGCAAGTGCCCGATGGTCAGGAAGTCTTCACTGCATTTCAGCAATTGTGATGATTTCATGAACAAGGAGGAAAGCTAGAGCACAGTCTCAGGAATGTAACATAGATTTCCAAAGACAGAACACTGACTCTCAGAAGAGTAATCAGCCTGGAAGGAAGATGACAGTAGATGGTAGGGGGAGTGTCCAAGTATGTCATTCTGACTGTGCTATTTAGACAACAAATAGTAGGCAGGAAGTGGTTAAACTAAAAGCAGGAGCGGAGAAGAGGGTGACTCAGGGACAGAATGTGGCCAACAGTGGGGAAGGGGGCATTTTTCAGGTGGTATCTCATCTAGGTGCTGTTCAGAGATTCAAAACCAACCCTAAACCCTCCAGCCCTGCAGGGCAGCTCAGCCTCTCAGAGAGGAACCAGGCAGCACAGGGGTGGCTGAGAGAGAGGAGAGAAGAAAGAGAAGAGAGAGGAGAGAGAGGAGGGAGAGAGGGAGGGGGAGGGGAGGAAGAGAGAAAGAGAGAGAGACTCAAATAAGCATTTCATCCCAAGTGTGGAATATGCCTGAGTCCCAGTGTTTGCATATTATCTTTGCAACAGAAAGGAAACTCAGAACACTAGCAGCTAACTCTCTAACCAGACAATCAATGAAAATACCACACTTCAAGTGTGAACTCTGGGTAACTGCAGAGGTTGTGACAAGTTTCTGCAACTTTGCAGTTAAAAGTTTTGGTCAAAGCAGCTGCCAGTCAAGTGTAGACCAGCACAGGGCCTGGAACAACATGGGGTCCCGAAGAGGTACCCATGAAAACAGCTGATCAGGATAGGATCTGGGGGAGGCACTGCTTTCTCTTCCTCACACTGAGATCCTTTCAAGTTGGGCAAAACAGCCTTTCAGAACTCAGTCCAGGAATCCCATTGCTTTCCCTGAAGAACGGGTGTGTGTTTCTTCAGGGAAAAAGTGAATCATTAAATGGATCATTTTTCTCTTCTTGCTTTGGCTGCCAGGAAGCTCAGTGCCAAATTCACATCTCACCTTTAGTAATTATATGAGACCCTGTGATTTGTATATTTGTGTCCTAAATTCACCCTAGCCTTTTCTCTGACCTTGATTTTTATTTAAATTTTTCCCCTATTTTAATATATTTAATTTTGGAAGTCTTTTCAAATCCACCTTTGTAGAGAACATGGTTATATAAATGTGTTGCCTGTGTATAATAAAACATGCTCTGGTCTTTTCTTTTGCAAGGAGAGGGAAGTGAGTTTGACTCAGCATGGGTGAGTTTATTGGAGTTGAGAGTGTGGAGAGGAAAGGTAAGTGTGGGTGGTTTCTTTTTAAGAACTGGAGACAAACTTGCCAAAGACTAGAAGGGAGCTGCCTCAGGGCTGAAGGTAATCCCAGTCTGACTGTGGAGGAACCAGGCTCTCTGGGGGTTTCCGAAAAGGCTCGAGTCAGCGATAGAGTTGACCTGGGTCTGAGTCACCTGTCAAGAGCGGAAGGACTACCACCTTTCTCTCCAACTCAAGAAAGTGCACTCAATTGCAAATAAACAAGAATAACGTTTTTATAGGACTAGCCTAGACTCTGCTCTGCTGCATATTTTTAAAAAGAAAGTGACTTGCAAATTACAGCATTGTATTAACAAATTACTCGTGACCCCATCAAAATTAAATTAATGGACACTGGTCAATCTGCAAGAAGTTGTCCAGTAGTGTGACTGGGAACCATCCCCAGGCCCTGTCCTATGTAACATAAATACAGTAATTTGGACTCAGGCATCGATGGCACATTCCTCACATCTGGGGTGACCCCGAAGTAGCAGGGTGGCACCTAAGTCACCTGACAGAATCAGGACCCAAAATGTGATTGACGGGCTAAAGGGAGGGTGCATCTTGGACAGAGACAAGTACAGGCTCCTGTACTTGGCCGCAAATGGATGGAGGGAAGCCAGCAGGTAAGAGAGAAAAAGGGCTCAGTGTTGAGTCTCTAGGGCGAAGGGACCACTGCAGGGAAGCCCCTCTGTGCTGCATGCTGAGACCGGAGAGCAAATCAGAGTGACAAAGGAAGGAGCCATCAGACGGAGCTTGGAGCCCTGGGCTTCCACCCTGGTTCTGCTCCCCCACCCTGGCTCAGGCTCTCCCAACCCAAGATCCTTTGAAAACAGCAATTAGGTCCCCAGCCTTCCTCCTGAGGAGCTCCATCGCTCAGCAGAATAGCCGAGTCTCTAGTGGCAGGTCCACTTGATCTGGCCCTGGCACCTGCCCTGATGCAGTGTCCTATCTCCCTACCCCTCACACACTCCGCCACACCGTGGCCTGTGGGCTGTTCCCAAAACACCCAAGGCCTTTGCACCTGTTACTCCTTCCACCTGGAATGCCTTCCCCATAACTCCTTTATAGCTTGTTTCCTCTTTTCACTCAAGTCTCTGCGCAGATGTTACCTTATCCCCGAGGCCCCCCAAGTCCCTTTGTATAACATTGTACACCCCTCATCACTTTCCATCCACCATGCCCGGTCCTGACTCAGTTCTTCTTTTTACCACATGGCACATTGTAGTTTGTTTGATGAAAAATGGGGTTCTGCCCTGGCTGGTCTGGCTCAGCGGTTAGAGCATCGGCCTGCGGTCTGGAGAGACCCGGGTTCGGTTCCCGCTAAGGGCATGTACCTCAGTTGCAGTTTGTCCCCGGCCCTGGTTGGTCGTGCGGGTGGCAGCCACTCGATGTGTCCCTTTCAAGTCGATGTTTCTCTCTCTCTCTCTCCCTCTTTCTCCCTCCCACTCTATCTGTACAAAAAATGGAAAAATGTCCTCGGGTGAGGATTAAAAAAAAAAAGAAAAATGGGGTTCTGTCAGAGCAGAGACTGAACTCGCCATTGTGGTGCCCAGCACCTGGAACAGTGCCTGGTACACGTGGGTGCTCAGTGATACATGTTTGTGGGTGGGTGGGTGAGAGGCAGATACAAACTTTAGGTTCCTTGCTGAGGCAGAACAGTTGCCAACGCCACATGCCCCAAGGGAAGATGGTAAAACAAAGGTGTGAGGTTTTTACTGCAAATTAAGGTCTTTTTCAGCATCAGGGCTGTGGGAAAACGCCACAGGAGAGCCCGGAGAACGCTTAGGCTTTAGCACAATCCAGATGACTTGGTCAAAAACAAACTGAAACAATCTGGTTGAGAATAAGTGAAGGGGCCCTGGCCAGTTTGGCTCAGCGGTTAGAGTGTCGGCCTGTGGTCCGGAGAGACCCGGGTTCGGTTCCCGCTAGGGGCACGTACTTCGGTTGCAGTTTGTCCCCGGCCCTGGTTGGTCGTGTGGGTGGCAGCCACTCGATGTGTCCCTTCACGTCGATGTTTCTCTCTCTCTCTCCTTCCTCTCTCTCCCTCCCACTCTATCTGTACAAAAAATGGAAAAATATCCTCGGGTGAGGATAAAAAAAAAAAAAAAAAAGAGAATAAGTGAAGGGGAGCAATTCAGCCCAAAAGACGATTTGGTCTAAAATTATATTCCATGTTATTTTTTGCCTGGCCAGTGTGGTTCAGTGGTTGAGCATTGGCCCACACACCAAGAGGTTGCCGGTTTGATTCCCGGTCAGGGCACATGCCCAGGTTGTAGGCCTGATCCCAGTGGGGGGCATGTAGGAAGGCCAACTGATGTTCTCGCTCATCAACGTTTCTCTCTCCCCCCCCCCTCTTTTCTTCTCTCTCTAAAATCAATAAAGAAATTTTTTAAAATGTTTTTTAAAAAAAAATTAAATTTCACTTTATTTTTTTTTAAATTATTTTTATCCTCACTCGAGGACATTTTTTCATTTTTTTGTTTAATAGAGCAAGAGGGGGAGAGAGAGAGAGAGAGAGAGAGAAACATCGATGTGAAAGGGACACATCGAGTGGCTGCCACCCGCACAACCAACCAGGGCCGGGGACAAACCGTAACCAAAGTACATGCCCTTAGCGGGAACTGAACCTGGGTGTCTCTGGACCGCAGGCCGACGCTCTAACCGCTGAGCCAAACCAGCTAGGGACACTTTTTTTAAATTGGGGTTTTGATGCAGCACAGAGGTGGAGCACATGGTTTTGTGCCTTTTGAAGAGTTTGCTTCAATTAGTTTTACCCTCTGCTTTATGTTTCTAGTTAATGCTTCAGCCAACTATCTTAACTTTGTTGATTTCTTAAAATGCATTGTGAAATGTCATGTACATGATAAAAGTGCATAGGACACAAATGTGCTGCTTTGTGAAGTATTATCAACACTGAGTGAACACAACACAATCAAGGGGACACTGCTGGCCCCCGGTGTCACCGAGTCCCCTTCCTGACACAGCATCGCCGCTGCCCCACTTCTGCTGTAATCACACCCTTTCTTGCCTTTACAATTTTGCCTCCTGACCCTCCACTTCTGCGCACTGTGGTTCAGTTGGGCCTGTTTTAGGATGGTAGGTAAGTGGAACCCTGCTGCGCACCTGTGTGACCTCTCCCCCTGCCGTGGCTGGTAGATGTCGTTCACTGCAGTCCTCTCCTCTCGGCTCCTGGGTGGTGAGCTTTCCAACAGCCAGATGTCTGAAAATGGATGATAGGTTCCATCAAGGATGAGTGTTTACAAAACAGAGAGTACTATACAATCCTATTTTTGCTAAAAAGGGGGAAAATGAGTGAGCAAGTGAAAAGAGAAAAAAGGAAGGAAAATACAGCCATGTGAATATCCAGAGAGAAAGGTCTGGAAAATATGCCACGTTTGACCTGGAGGGTGAGTGGGTGCGCCGCTCTCCATGAAGTTTATTTATATATATGACTGGGTTGACCTCATTCTCTGGTTTTCCTATAATGAGCCCTCATTGCTTCTGTAGAAAAAAAGAATAAAACAAAACAAAAAACATTAAATGGAATTTAAATGATGAAAAAAATTAACCAAGCAACATTAAGTAACATCAAAGAAAAGGATCTGGAATTTGTGGAGGTTTTAGGGGTTTTTCCTCCCAGTTTATTTTCAGCCAACTATGTTTCCTCTACTTGGTTGATGATTTTTTTGAACTTTTTATTTTCATAAATTGATCAAATACCAATGAATGTCTCCATGTTCATGAGTTTTATAAATATCTTATAGGCTGTTTAGTTAAGACCTATTTATTAGATATTTCAGCCTTTCTCATTCATTCCCACCACTTTGTCTTGCTTTGCTCTATTTTTAATAGATGAAAACAATCTACATTCATTTTGACCAACTCTTCATCCAGGCTGCTCCAGCAGACTACAGTGAACATTTTAAGTCAGGTCGGCTTCAACTCCAGCCTCCATTCAGCATTGACCTTCTGAGCAATTGGCCGTTGGGCAAACCTCCTCTGGTTTCAGTTTCCCTGTCTGCTAAATGGAGATAACATCAACATTACAGGAGCTTTGTGAGACTTAGAAAGAAACTACCAAATCAGCAACTTGCAAGCCACCTCAGGCCAGTTTCATTCGGGGCTGGAGAAGTCTGTGTTGGTGGGAAGGGGGTGGCGCCCTGCACATTATGGGAATGGTCGACTGCATCTCTGACCTCTACCCACTGGATGCCAAGAGCATGGCCTAGTCAAGTTGTGGTGACCACACACGGCTCCAGACATTTCTAAAGTGTCCTGGGGAAAAACTGCCCCCAGTGAGAACTGCTGCCTTAGACTTGTCCCTCACATCCCATGATTGATGTCACCAGATCCTGTTGGTTCCTCCTCCCCTCACCTCCAGAATCAGTCCCCCTTCCCCATGGAGCCTTCTTAGCCCAGCCCTGGGCCAGCACAAACCACTCCCTGCATCCAGCCTTACTCCTAGTCCCTTGCCTGGGCTGGCAGCAGGACAATACGAATGTGTGCTTTTCTCCCATATCTTCCATCTCAGTAAGTGGCCTGGCCTTTTAGGGCTCTCATGTCACTGAGCCAAAAGCCAGTGTTGCCAGACTTTGGCCCCTACCCAAACCCATGGATGAGAATCTGTTGGAGGGCCCTGGACAGGGAGATGAGGGTGGCCTTGGGTGTGCATTAGAGGAGATGGGGAAGACAGCTATCCGGCTGGATGAGATGGATGGCCGTCAGTCCTGGAAAGAACAGGCCCACACCTCACAGCAGCCTCAGCCTGAGGAAATGGCAGGCATCACCTGCAGGGACTGCCTGTGTCCCGAGGAAGACACGACCCGAGATCAGGGCTTCTAATACTCCCCCACCCAGAGCTGCCCAGCCACACGGCCTGAAGGGATCACAGGGACATGGGCCTCTTCGTGGTCAGAGTGCACCTGGGCACCTATGACTTCCAGCCCCTCCCCCCGGCCCCCACCCCACTGTGCTGCATAGCATTCAGGGGCCTCTTCCCAGTCCAGAGCAGGGAATGTCCCACAGACAGGCTGGCTGAGTGGGGACTCAAAGTTGGACATAATTAGCTTTAATGTTGGAAAATCATTTGGGGGGGGGGAATGCAGGCATGGGGGGGGGGGGCAGGCCCTCAGTGCACAGCTTGTTCACTGGCACTGCTTCCTGAGTCACGTCAGGCAGCTCTGGGGGCTAGAGAAGGGCTCAAGGCGCAGGGCCTCAAATGCATCCTCTGCCCGGAAGGCCAGCCCCACAGTGGCTGGGGCCTGTGGCCCAGCTGTCTGCCTGGTGAAGCCCCACTCGCCTAGTGTCTTGCCGTCATCCAGAAGTTGGTCGTCCTTGTAGAGTCGCTGCTCGTCGGGCGGCCGCTTGAGGATGCCCTCAACGATGCGCTTCAGCTCGAACACGGTGCTCGACTCCTTGGCCTCCGTGAAGATGGTGGTCTTGTGGCGCCGGATCCCAAGGAACACGTCCGACGTCCGACTACCGACTACCGCGGCAGCTGCCTCTCCCACTCGACGCACTGCGGACCTGCTCCGCCCCGTTCCCGGCAACCCGCGCGCTGGCCCCCAGCATGCCCAGCGCCCGGCGACCCCGCCCCCGGAAAATCATTTTTAAAGGATACTTCTCATACCTCACTGAGTTTGTACACTGAGGCTCAGAGGCGTTACAAATGCGGGTGTCGGCAGGTCACCTCCTGCCTTCAACCCTTCCGAGGCTCCCACTGCCTAAGGACAAGGCCCGACTGCACACACACGGGAAAGCTGGGCTCACGCCCCACGCTGCTCCCACGGCAGACATCATTAATCAATCGTGGCATCTTTTAGGCTGCGGCTGAACACAGTCCCAGAATCCTTGACGGCCCCACCCACCAGGCGGCTGCACAGAGCTGACTTGGCACCTGAGCGGGAGTCGAGTCTTTTCTGTACGTGGGACCCACCCCCACACACATCTGACTGCTTCTTACACGAAGATGTACCACTGGTGCATACTTTGTTACAGGGTTTATTTTTTCCTTCTCCAAAAACTATTACTAAATTCAGAATGTACTTTTTAATGGAGTGCATCTTAGAGCTGACGAGATGCAGCATTGGCTTCCCTGGCCTTCCACAGTGTCCTCAGGGGTCATTCAGGACCCTCCACACTTGGCCCATGCCCAGTCACCTGGTGGCCTGCACCAGCCCCACACCTCCCTGCTCCCCTTCCCAACTTCCTCCCTTTCTCCCTCCCCTCCGGAAATGGCCACAAAGATCTCCTCTGTGGGGCCCGTCCTGACCCTACCACGTGACCCTCTCTGCGCCCCTGCATACATGGGAGGGGACACAGCACGGGCCTGACTGTCTCCCTCTTCAGACTGTGATGTCCTAGAGGTCAGGGCCCACCTCACACACTTCGGGGCAGGAAGGTGCTCGGAGAGGCAGAGCAGGACAAGGCTGCCCCAAGCACGTCCAACGGGCAACATGTGCCTTGGAGAATTTGCTCCAGTCCAGGCCTAGGGAAGGCTGGCCCACAATATCTGAGTCAGAACTGGAGAACCAGTTTATGAACCCACAATGAGGAACAGAACAACTGGGTGGAGCCAATGGTCAGAGTGGCCTGACCAGAGTTTGCCCTCCTTGCAGCCTAGCCAGGGAAGCCACATTTATTACCCTGGGTTGCTTGGCAACAGGGGACTCTGGATAGGCTGGTGACTGATAGGACTGGAATGTGTGGTGGCGTCAGCAGACAGCTGCCTCGGTATGTCTTCAGTGGCTGAGGACCAGGTAGGCAGGCCAGGTCACCTCTCTGGGGCATGGGGACTGGCCACTCCCTCGGCATCGCCACAAGACAACTTGTGGCCTTTGGTCTCTGACTCCAGCTGTCCTCCTGATGGGCACATTGTGTCCTCAAGATAAAGTAATACCTTCAGGCTGGCCCCTAAAGCCTTGCATAGCTGCAAGCCTTCGTGCTTAAGATGACTGCAGTCTGATTTCATCATTTATCTTTCTTATTTTCGGCCAAGGACCACCCACACCTGGCACTCACGAGGTGATTAGTAACTGGTTGCTCCTAGGTGTGTTTTTCATAGTCATATGGGTTAGCATTCTGAAACTACTTTCTGGGTCTTCTAGAACTGAGCAAATAAGTAACCTGGAGCCAGTTTTCTCATTGTTGGGAAAGAAGTTACACACATGGAAAGGGGGAAGGTTAGAATAAACTCTATGGTGCTGGGTTGGAACTGGAGGCATCTGTATGAGTGTGTTTTTTAAAAAAATATTTTTCTTTATTGATTTTAGAGAGAGGGGAAGGAGAGAGAGAGAGAGAAAAAGAAACACCCATGAGAGAGAACATCGTTTGGCCGCCTCCTGCATGCCCCCCACTGGGGATCAGCCCACAACCTGGGCATGTGTCCTGACCAGGAATCGAACTGGCGACCTCTTGGTGCATGGGTTGACGCTCAACCACTGAGCCACACCAGCTGGGCATGAACTCAGAATTTTAATATACAGAGTAATAGATATAGAAACATACTATATGTTTCTGTCTCAGCTTTGACCACTGAGTGGACTTAGAAATCATGGCACCCAGTAGCAATGAGCACACCTAACATCCAGATCCTGGTTTCTGCATACCAAGCTCTACCAAACAGAACCAGGGCTCTTTGGAGAAATGGCTGATTGCAGGGCTGGTGCAAGGAAGATACAAGATGAACCTGCAACATTTTACAAAGAAAATTAGGAAGGGTTCAGATCATGATGGTCCAAGCAGAGCAGACAGGAGCCAGTTTGAAAAGTCCCCTAAGACCAATCTAAACAGTGTGAGCATCAACATAAACAATGATAGTAACAGTAGAACTGATTAAATAAGTCTGTGAGCCTACAATGATATAAATAAGTAATCAAGAAATAAACAGGAGTGGAAAGCTTTTCTTTAGAGCTGAGTGGAAGCGAATAAACATGGAGGACAGAACTAAAAGGTCACCACTGCAGGCAAGGGTCATCACCGGGTCTAGTGGGCGACAGTCCAATGAGAAACTGGCTACTTATATATTTTATATATAATATATATTCCTCATAGTATCATCCCAGGAGACTCATTCATTACACAGGAAAAAATAGTTTACAGTGGAGAAACCTGGCAGACACAGCTTTGACCAACTAATTAAAGTTAAATCAGCAATAAGGGAATAAATAGGCATTTACTCCGTTCTTCAATTCCCCGGCTCCAGACAGGCACTGAGGCGGGCTTCTGGGTGTTCCTGCCAAAAAGGTGTAACCTGAATCTTTAGGGCCACCTGCAAACCAGCTGTAATTGCTCTTCTCGGGAGATGCTAATGTGCAGCCAGGATCAGACCCTCACATGATGCCTGCCTCTGTCTCCTTTCTGTCATCTCGAACGCAGACCCTACGTGTGAACACTGCCGTGGTGTTCAAGCTCAGTTCTTTGCCGCTGCTTTACTCCAACCTGCACCACGACGCCAGATCAACCGTTCTGGTCCCCCACCATTCAAACACTCGCGTGCAAGTCAAGCTCAAACGCCTCACCCAGGCATCAGCCCTGGCAGTGTGGCCGCCCCACTCCCTAGCTGCCCTCCAGCGCTCCCCCTTGATACTCTGCTCCTAGGAGAGTGGTGCTCACCACCCCGCAGCCCCAGTTCCACCTCGCACATTTGCACTGGTAACCGCCCCCTCACACACTGCACCTGTCTGGTCTCACTCGGGGTAAGAACCACCACCGGTTCCTTCCTCCACGGGGGCCTCCTCCTCACATCAGGCCCAGCCTGGGCACTCCCTTTCCTCAGGAGAGAGAGGTTGAGAGCCTGGTGGCTCAGGCTCTCCTCCCTCCAACAGGGGAGGAAAGGTCTCTGCAGCTGGGACACAGGTCACCTGCTCTTGTTCACCAGCCGCCATGCATGGGGAAGGGAAGGGCAGGAGAGGACAACTGGGTGCTGCCATGGGATTCTGGCCTGGCACCAAACTCCCCATGCCCCTGCCTGCTTCCCTGTCCACCCACTCCACATCCTCCCCCTCCCTCAGCCCAGCACATGGCTAGGTGCTGAAGGACCCAGAGGAAATAGGTCACAGGGAGGTGCCACCTGGGCTTGGCCCCTCGGGGGAGGGTTTGGCCTAGGAGAGAAGCAGCTTCTGCAGAGGTGGGGGACAGAAGAGCACCTCCTTCTCTACTTCTCCTACCTCCTCCTCCGGCTCCAGCTCCACTTCGAGGCTTCTCGCTGGGACCACCGTTCCTCCAGGCCTCACTTTCCTGGGAAAAGACTTCTCCCAGATCCAGCCCCTCCACTTACTCCAAGTTCCCTGGGGCTGGGGAGCTCATTCCTGTGAAGTTGTTTGGCTGCCCAGGGCCAGGCTTCAGTGATCAGGAGGCTAGTGATCAGGAGGCTAAGGGGCTGAGCAGGTGCCTCAGTTTCCATAGAATCAGCTGGAATTCAATGGGGAGCAGCTCAGTCAGCTTCCAGAGGTCCAGGGGCAAGTCATACTCACCTCCTCAGGCCAGCTGTTTGCCTTGGGGATGTCCAGGTGGAGACCTCTGGGACAGGGCCCTTGAACCTTCATGAGAGGAAGAGGGCCCTTCCTGCCTCCCAATGAAACCTCTCAAAGCGTTGTCCCTCAATGTCTCTCTTGGCTAGGGCTTTTCAGATTCCTGGCCCTGCTCAGTCCCAGAGGGAGGCATTTGGAAGCAGATTATGAGGTAGACCCTGAGAGAGATGACACCCCATTCCCAAGTCTGGGAATGCCCCCCGCCACTCCTGCCTCTCCAGTTGCAAGCTCAGTCCACCTCCCTCCAGGAAGAGCCGCTCCAGAGCCCCCCTGCTGTCGCCACTTCCTCTGGGTAGCTCAAGCCGGTCAACACCTGTCCCCTGGCCTGGCATCTGCCTCCAAACCTGGCCCCCAGGTGGCTGTAAGAACCTGCTTGCCAGGCAGATCCTTTTCCATCTGTTTACAAAACCGTAATTTCCCAATCCCCAATCAAGACATCTCACAAATAACGTTAGGGTCCCTTTTTGGGTATAATTTAGATGCTAAAATATTATAGTTTGAAACTATTAGAGGAATAATGACTCAATTAGAAATGATGGCAGGAATGATGGAGGAAATAAGTAAAAATGTTTTAAATGGAGGCCATCATGAAATCCAAGATACACAGTCACGGTCTATCTAGTCTCCTACATCCAGGGCAGGCTCTCAGCACACACTGGAGCCTTCCTTCTCCTTGACATTTACACCCTGGTTTCCTCACCCTCGCACATCCATCCCATTCATCCCTAATCAACACATTACATGGTTTTGCCATGAGTCAATCTTTATTGGTTTTGGAAGTAATGAATTATTGGCACAAGGCTCCATGGGTTTCAAAGCAAACAGCAGAAGGAAACATACATCACGCAGGTGGGAAGACCCAGCGGGGAAGACTCCTGAGCAGCTGTGACCCTCACCCGCAAGAGCTGCGGGGACCCTGCTGCCAGCCCCCACCCCGCTGGTTCAGACTGCACAGACCTAGGTGGTTCGGCCATGTCTCAGGGGATCTACAAAGTCCTCCAGTCCTCTCTCAAAGACAATCATTTCTAACCTTCACAGAACCTTCTTCCAGCCTTTGCGTCTTTGCCACCAGTAGCAGCTTGGCAGCCATGAGGACCCTCCCCCTCTAAGACAGCCCACCTGCTCTCCCTCACCTGTGCCAGTCCAGATGCAGCCTCCCCGCCAGGGGCAGAGGAGGGAGGGGGTGAGTAGAGGAGGGAAAGAGTTGGTTTTAGAGGGCGGGCCAAGCCTGGTGACCCCCCGAGGACCTGCTCTTCCCCTCTACTGTGGTGGGTCTTCCACCAATATTTGGGGGGTAGGAAAAAGGGGGGTTTTCAATAGGAGAGCTGCTGCCGCCCCTCCTCCGAGGGCTCCTCCTCTATGAGCTCCAGGTCGAACTCATCTTCCAGGGACCCTCCTACGGGCAGAAGGCGGAACTTCTTCCCCTTGAGGGTGCACGTGCGGTGCTCGAAGTCCAGGATGGCGTTGTGGTCCTGGAGCACGTCGGTGCCGATGATGGCCTCCTCAGCGCTGGCATTGGCCACCAGGAACTCGGCCTTGAGCTTCAGTTTGCCCAGCGACACCACCGTGTCCCAGATGCCCAGGATCTTCATTTCCGCCCCATTGGCCACTTTTACCACATTCTCAAAGGGCCGAAGGGTGTCCAAGTCCCCATCAGTGACCTCCTCCCACAGGTTTGGGTGGACCACGGAGACCTGGGCCCCAGAGTCCACCAGGAACCTCACGGGCACTTTGCCGATCTTCCCCTTCAGGTAGTAGCCCTTACCCATGCTGTTGGCAAAGACGATCTCCTTGGGCAGGTGGGGGTGGGCGGCTCCGGGCCCCCCGAAGGTCTTCAGCAGGGCCTCTTTCACAGCCCTATAGTCCCCCTGCTCCTCAGGACTGAGTCCACTGTAGACCCCCAGGGCATCTCCCCTGAGGGACTCTTTCAGGAACCTCAGCTGGGTGGTATGGTCCCAATGGTTGAGGTCGTTGATGACCTCAAAGCGGTGCAGCCAGAGCTGGGGGGCTACATTGGCTCCATTAAAAGGCTCCGGGATGAAGGCATGTTCCCGGCGGCCTTCCTGGCTCCTGGCTCCGCTCCCGGCCATCCCTCTGCTGTCCTCTGGAACCGCAGCAGCAACCCACACCAGGCAGAGAAAGCCACAGAGCTGTGCCGGCGCAATCACGCTGGAGAACAAGGCGTCTCTAAAGTGTTGCTTAGGTGCCCAGGCTGGGGCAGGCAGAAGGGACCAGCCGAGGGTTGTCTGGCGAACTGCTGGGCGCCCGGGCGGCAGCTGTGGCTTGCTCGCTCTGCAGAGCCTTTTTGATGGCTAGCCTGGGCCCCCAGGGCTCCCCATTCTCCTTTGTTCTGGAAGCTCCGCCCCTGCTCCTCCTGCCCTCCTGCCAGCATCCTGCCCAACGAGCAGGGTCAGTGCCTCACCCTTCTCCATCCCTCCATGAGACTGGCACAGGCCAGCCCATGTTGCAAGAAAGACCAGCCTCAGTCAGAGGGGCCCTACTCAAGTACCCTCCCCAGACTGTGTCTCAGAATAACACACGAGGACACAGAAGACGTTATGACATCCAGGTGTTTGTGATAAGCTGGAGAAGGGAGGGGAGGCAGGGATCAGAGGCCCATCAACCTCTAGACGGGGCTGAGGGCAAAGGGCCTCCCCACAGTGACCACTTTGAGTGGTTAAAGGAAGGGAGCTGACATTAACTGCACTCCTACCGTGTGTGAGGCATGGGCTAGGTGTTTCTCATACCTCTGGACCAAGTGTGGCATCCCATAAGACTCCCCAGAGAGGGAGGTGGAGAAGGGTCCCAGAATCAAGATGCACAGAAAGAGTTTTGTTTTTAAAAATATGTTTTATTACTACCCGCAGGAGAGGCCTGCGTGGGGTGGTCGGTGTGCTGGGCTAGGGGGTGGGGTGGTCTGCGAGAAGATGGTGGTGATGGGGAAGCTGAGTCTGGAGGCCAGCTCCAAGGGCTCCTCAGGCATGCTTCTGGGAACAGCTAAAGGACTCGGCAAGTTAACACTAAGCTGCCAATAAGATTAAGAAATTCCAGGAAATCAAGCTGCCCATCACAGTGACCGTCCAGTACCTTCATCGTGAGGTCAAGGACACTGCGATCCTTCTGGTTCTTCATACAGGCAGCCAGTCCTGTCTTCCTGAAGGCCAGGAACTGAGTCTTGGAAAGTGCGTAGCTGCTATGTCCTGTCCAGCACACTCCTGGAAACAGCCCTCGGACTGGGGCACTGCACGCTGTAGGGCTGGACATTTTTGCCATGTTGGAGAGAAGGGAGGCACGGAGGCTGTCCAGAAATAGTTTTAAATAATGGGACACACACACACACACACACACACACACCATTTTTCATGAACTGACTGCTACAGTAATTTTCCCTCATTGATCACACCTAATTCAGAGTCAGCACTATTCCAGGCTGGGCCTCAGCCCGTGTGCCCTCATTCGGTCTCTGGCGTAGGCTGGTGTGGAACCTGAACTCTGGGAGTGGACACCAGAAGCCCCGTCCAGCTCCAGCTCCGGGCGTGCCGCATGGGGTGTCTCCGCCCAGAGGCCCCTCTCACCTTCCAGGAACCTCCCAAGATCCCCTTCCCTAGGATGGCACACCTGATCATTTGTAAAAAGAGCAGCCAGGGAATTCTACTCCCATTTGAGGGAAAGTCTGGCACGTTGATGAAGCCAGAGGTGAGATTCTGGAAGGCTCTGGCTGGAGGAGGTTGGCTGTGTGACCTCCTGCTGGGGGATGCAGGGCTGCCCCGGGCCACCCATGGATACCCAAACGGTGGACCTGTGAGTCCCAGGGCTGGAGCCTGCCTTGAATCTGTGCAGGGAGATTGGCACTGTTGTGGGGACCCAATCTTAAGATCCCATTCAAATAACACCGCCTCCATGGAGCCTTCCGCCCTGTCCCTCGCACGAGTGCTCGCTCCCAGCTGAGTGTGTTTGCACGATGCTGTGCTGGTTTGTTCACCAGCCTGTCTCCTGTGATGAGGCTCACACGTATCAGGCAGGTGTGACTGTCTCCAGCCCCCACAGAAACATTCTGGGGTCAGCAGGTGCTTGATGCTGGCTCCAGGCCTGGCTGAGCACGCTCACCAAGCAGGAGAGGTTAAGACAGGAGAAGAGCAAGAATAAGTGGCAAACCTGTGGCTCAGGGATGTTTTTCCTGGCCCATAGCCTGTTCCTCACTGGCTCCCTGCACCATTCATCACCTAGTACCTGGCTGAATCCCAGGGGACCCTGACCCCAGTCCTGCCTCTGGACAGTTCCAAGGTTCCTAACTATGCCAAAAGACCCTCAGTTCCTGCCACTGTCCCAACCCCCTCCACCTGACACCGTGAGCCAGCAGAAAGGCAGCTGGTCAACACCTCTGCTCACAGCTGCCTGGCTAAGGTGGGGCCCTCGTGCCATTCCAGGAATGAAGATGAGGGGCAAATGAAGTCACTCGGGAATTGTCAAAGGCAGGTGGGTCTCTGGGAAGATTGCATAATGAAAAGTCCTGCACCCAGAGAAATGTCCCAGCCACATGCAGGCCCAGGAAGCCCCTTCTGCAGGTGTATTTCTGTGGCCAGACGCCCAGCCTCTGCGATGAGCATGTTTCGTGGCTCAGGGATCTGACCTAGTGATTTCCTGGCTCCTGGTATTTGTCACCCCCACACACCTGGTCCCCTGGAGGTGAGAATGAGGAGGCTGACATGTGACCAAAGGAGGTGAGCGGCAGGGTGGCTTGTCCGCTGGCGGAGGATGAGGACTTCTCGATGCCCCACACTGTGGTTCTTCAAACCACTTTGGCGACGCTGAAGTCCCATCTCCCCGTTGCTCCACTAGAAAGAGGCAGTCACTGGAATTCGGGTCGTGGCACTTCACTTGATTGGGTTTGATGTTCGCTTTGGCAAAGTCCACTCATATCTGTCACCTCAGTGAGTGTCGTAACAACCTTGAGGCAAACCAGCCACCCTCCCCCAGGGTCTGACGCACAGGGAGCTTGCTTCAGGCCCCGAGCTGCCCAATGCACGGAGAAGGGCACTTCGTAAATAAAACCCGGATGTGCGCATGCTGGGCTCAGGGAGAGCGGCTAGAGCCTGGGGGCTTGTGCTGTTGATGGCCTCTGGTGGGGACAGTGATCTCAGGAGCAGGAGCAAGAGCTGAGTCACACAGTCAAGAATTGTGTGAGCCATTGTTAAGCCAACTGATGGCCTTGTGGGAGGTGTGAACACCATAGAAACTGGCAAATTCTAAATCTGGACTTTTCCCCCTCTCTCTGGAAATCCAATTTATCATCACATCCCTGCATGGGGAACTTGTTCTCTCTCAAGCCCCATGGCCAGTGGTTAACAAGTTTACAGCAATTTCCACTCCTGCCTACCTGTCCACATCTCGTCTAGCCTAGCTTGCCTCACGCTGCTCGCAAATGTTATACGTCGGGGTCCCTTGGCTTGAGGCAGGTGGCCTTCCTCAGCAAGGGCCCCCAGGCTGCCTGTTCACAGTCCCACCTGGGATCCCTAAGGCAGAAGTACAGGGGCTGGTGGTTACTAGGAGAGCTGGAAAGAGTTGAGTTTAGGGACTAGTCTCAGGCTGGGATCAGGAACATGGTGAAGTAAGTTCTCAAGTTCCCTTAACCCTTGGGAGATGCCCACACATGGAACACCCCAAAACCACTCAGGGACCTTTAAACTGTTATGCTATTGGTACACTTGTGAGCTAAACCAGCTGGGGAAGACCAGGCGTCTCCTCCCAGAACCTCAGAAATCGTGGCTAATTATTGACAAGCATAGGTATTGGGGCGGGAACACCCTCATTACTACCATTAGCATCTCCTGAGCACGTTCTGAAGTAGGCACAAGCACTCAGCCCGACAGCAAACAAATCAGGACAGTAAACAGGAAGAACTGAGGGAGTCCCCACCCTCTACACCCCCTCACTGAGATTTCAAGGCTGTGAACTCTGCTGGCTCAATGTGGCCCCAGCTGCCAAGCTCCCCTTTCCTACTCCCCCCCCCCCCCCGGACAGGGCCCATCAGGGCCCCTGAGAATTGAAGCACTTGGTGGGCAATGAGGACACAATGGGAAACCACGGGCCTCCTTCTCTGCACGGTTTCTGCTGCCTGATGATTTCTGGGGGCACAGAGGGCACTGGGCACTGGGTACCGGGGAGGAGCCTGAAGTCTTGAGGGAGGAGGGCAGGGCCCAATGATGCAGGGTAGGCTGGGGAGGGAGCTGGGCCTTCTCAGGAGATAATTTTGAGCAAAACCTGAGAGACCTTATGGATTCGGGTGCCCTCGTGAGGCCCCGGTGAAGCAGAGGGAGGGTCGGGAAAGGTGCAGACAAGCCCCACAATTCACAGGTCAGCTGCGGCAGTTCCTCTCCGGGGTCAGCTCCACACACTCCAGGGTCAAGGTCACCCTGTGCTGGATGGGGAGAGAGCAAAGCAGGTTCAAGGACTTTTACGACAGCAAAGAAAGTCCAAACGGATGTCCAGCTGGTGTGGGTCAGTGGTTGAGTGTTGACCCAGGCACCGAGAGGTCGCTGGTTCGATTCCCGGTCAGGGCACATGCCTAGGTTGCGGGCTCGATCACTATCGGGGGCCTGCAAGAGGCAGACAACTGATGTGTCTCTCTCATCGATGTTTCTATCTCTCTCCCTCGCCCTTCCTCTCTCTCTAAAAATCATTAAAAATATTTTTAAAAAAGAAAGAAAGGCCGATAGGACGCAGGAGGTGCACTCTCTCCACCAGGGTCAGCTTCCTGGGCATCTGACCTGTGAAGTCGCACGGGGCTCTCTCTCAGAAAGGCCCCGTCTTGTCTGATGCTCTGCTGTCACTGTCTTGAAATTCCCAATGATTTTGAATACGGGGCCCTACACTTTCATTTTGCACCAGGCCCTGTAAATGAAGTAGCTGGTTCTGTCTCCAACCAACTCGATGGGGACTTCCCTTCACAAACACACACACACAATTTGAATGTACATACACACACAACACAAATATATACACATACACACACTCATTACCACACACCACACACATCTACACTGTCTACAAAAACATACTCCCTCCACTGTACACACACTGTGCACTTATAAAACACACAGTCACTACAGTTCGCAGTTCAAAACAGCTAAGAAGTGATTCGACTTGCATACAGAATACAGCTCCCACATTTCATGTTACATATTTATTTGCACACACATTTACATTGAGCGTTAAAATCATTTATTGGAGTCACCTGCTGTTTATTAGCCTCTGGGCACACTTGCTGGCTCAGAAAACCAGGCAGGTCCCCTTCACCATGGCTTACAAGCCAATGAAAACAGAATACAGATGTTTAACTGCCCAGATTTGAAGAGTTCAAGACCAGCGTGGAGGCGCAGGCCGACCACTTGAAGCAGCCCCAGTCACAGACATGCTGCTTTGAGAGTGGGTC